ATCAAATCAATGCACTGCAAACTATCCAAGTCTATAAATGTTATAGTGTTCAGTATTTGTTTTACGTGACACTTGTCACGTAAAATAAACAATAAAGCCACAGCCGCCTTCACTGTCTCAGGACAATTGTGTGTCCTAGTTGACTAGTGACTGTTAAACATGGACACTAGTCAACTAATGTGATGTAAAAATGGAACTAGTCCATCAGAACCCTTTAAAGCTCATAATCTGACATATTTGCATTTTACAATTTTACTAGTGCAGCTAATAAATGTCAACTAGTTGACTGGTGCACCAGTTGTTGACTAGTTAACTAGTAGGGCTAAATTTAGCCGGACTAGTTGACCAGAAAGGAAGGAAACATGTCATCTAGTCAGCATTTCAACTAGGTTTCACTAGTAGGCACCGTTTGTTTTGACTAGTTGCCCAAGGACACAACGACTGAGACGGCTGGACGGAGGATCGAACCAGTGACCTTCTGGTTCCAGGACGACTCCCCTAACCACTCCGCCACAGCCGCCCCAAAAAGTCAACTAGTTGTGACTTTGGGGCATTTGCAGATGAGAAATTTCTGACTAGTATGACTAGTATGCTCCTTAATATTGAGTATCATAAATAAATAGCCAAACAGCTTGCCGTACATGCAGCTGAATTTCAGCCGTATGTTTCTTTAAGGACTCTGCTGCCCTGACTTCCTGAGGCAATCAGGAACCTTTCTGTTTGCTGATGTGTTCGTAGCCTTTTTCTCACATTTACTCACAGAAATCAGACAGACGGGCCGAAGCAAAGATGGCAGAACTTTCTGGGCCCGTCTGATTTACTGGTTCCTGTGGGTCGGGCTAGCAGAGGAGAATCTAGTTTGATAGAAACTGAGTTTATATTCATAAAGGAACAGAAAAATGTACTTTTATTCTCTAAATTGTGTTTATAATTTATGTTTAGTTGCTGTTTTTAAAGCAAAAACTCAGTGGAGTCCTTCTGCTAAATAATATAATATAATAATATTTAGCTGGAAACAAAACCAGAAACTGAAGCCACAAAGGATGAGCGCCTCCTAGTGGCTGCAGAACGCTTTATAAAGTCCTGCTCCTCCATATAAAAACTGGTGTGGTGTTTTTCTGTCTAAAATAAATAAATAAATAAATAAATAAATAAATAAATAAATAAATAAATAAATAAATAAATAAATAAATAAACAAACACTTCAGTCAGTCTTTTCCAGGTGTTGTTTTTTGTTGATTCATGTCAAAATGCAGCTGTTTGCTTAAATATGCATTTTTGCCAAAATCATTGAGGACTAAATATATGACTCATCACATCGAAACGAGGATTAAGTCCAAAAGTGGAGCAATAGGCAGATATATATGGAGTTAAATGAGTGACAGTTTACATTGCAATGTTTCATTTTTCAATGTCAAATCTCCTTTTCAATATCAATGTAAGCTGTCACTCATTTAACTCTATAGATATAGGGTTTAGATTTAATGTGTCCAAAAATTACATTTTGTCAAAATATAATGAATGAATGCCGTATCAATGTATCATTTGAATGAACTGTTTATAAGCCTAAAAATATTTTTGAAGCATATTTTGAGCATTAGGAACAAAAAACCTGATTTTGTGGAAAAACGCCTTAAAATTTTATATTTTTCCCTGTGAGCTTGCAATGTTTTTCTTTCTTTCCAACTGGGAAATCTTAACATGCAAATACTATTTGAGGTTTCCTCTTTATATTAACATCTAAAATTACTCAATAAATTTACATAAAATTAGAATTCAGACCGAACAGTAATGTATCGCAACCAACAAGACTAATGAAGTCAAATCTCTGGATAAGCTTATGATATCAGAACAAGCTTTTAAAGCAGGAATCTGAAAATGTAGTTTGACTTAATTCTCATTTTAATATGATGGGTCACATATAATATTTCTGTTTTGGGTAGGACTTTGAACAAACACTTGAAGGATTAGTATTTTTAAACTTTGCTTTTCATGGTCCTCATAAAATATGTTGTTATTTGGAATTGAGTGAAGCTTTGAACTGGTTTGGTCAGAGACCCGATCAAAGATAAATTTGAGGATAAATTAGCTGAGAGCTGAAGTAGAGCAGTGTCTGCAGCCTGTCGGCCTGAGCTGCAGGCAGTGAGTGGAGCTGACAGCAGCACAGATAATGATCCTGTCTGATTGACAGCTGAAGAGTGACGGCTGTAGGAGAGCACTGAGCCTCGGCTCTGAGCTCTGCCTGTTCGGCTTTTTGTCTCGTTGCTGCTGCAGCGTGATGCGTTTACTGTCCAGCAGCCACACAGTGGTGAAACCAGACATTTTTCTCAGGGGTGGCCAGACTGGGACCACTACTCACACAGGTGTCAGAACCATTTTAAAAGTGGGGAGACGGATCGTTGGGGGGTCTGGGGGTCCTCCCCCAGAAAAGTTTGAATGAAATAGATGCCCTTTCCAGCATTCTGATGTATTTTACCAAGTTGTTTAACGTACTTTTACCTACATAAATAAACACTTGATTTAAAAATTATTTCACAGACAGATTCTTCATTAAACTAGTTTCATCATCCTGTTTTTAAACTCACTGCTACAGCTGAGATAAGGTTAATTAATGTGTCACAATTTATCACATCTAATGACTTTACGGGTGTTTTTTACTTTTATATTGTTTGATTTATTTGTAATTGTAACATGTCATTGTGCCAAATAATGATGACCTTCAACTGCATATATAAAACTAGTATTAATAACTTTACCCAATGAACAGGTGCAATATTGATAACCACCAACAGTGAATTTAAAGGGGCATTTCACTTTTTCTGATTTAGTCATAAGTCTACTCATAACCAAAAGGGACAGAGCATCATGCAGCCTTCAGAACAGAAAATGACACTGTGTTATGATGACAAAAAACAAAAACATTTGTCACCATAAGTCAGAACACATAGGTATACAGTATGTTCTGTATATAAAGAAAACAATCATTTCTTTGTCACTTCTTTGAGCTTGGTGATGTTTCAAACTGTTAAACACTGCCACCAACTGTTCAGGAGGATTATTACACCCCTAAATGTTGTTTCACTGTGGAAGGGGTGTGTACAGCAGGGTGGCCAAAGATTTGTCTGTGGTGGCCATGGCCACCCCTGACCACCCCCTGGCTCCGCCCCTGCAGCCATACTCCTGCTTCCATCACCTCAGAGCACATTAATTTATTCTTAATGCACTTACATTTACACTGCTGGCTAATCTGGAATTAAATCCTAAACATGATTTAAAGTCATGCATTCTGTGTTCAGATCTGCAGAGTTTTCTTAAGAACCAGAAACTGAAAAATTTGTTTTTTTTATCTTATTATCTGGTTTAACTCCTTTTATTCTGACTGATTATAAACTCAGAAACTGTTTAGAAGCTGGGCTTTTGCTCATTAACATAATGTGAAACCAGTTAGGGACTAATTGTTTGTTAGCTGTTACTCTATCACTGATTATTGATCACTTTCTGTTAATGTCACTTTCACATAAATTAGTGGGAAACAAGCTACAGAGTAATGGCTAATTAACTCTAATTTTATTATAATGATCAGGAGTTTTTTGCTTCTTAATTTGAAGCAGATTTTTAAAGCTTTTATTTTGAAATAATACCATTCAAGTAAAATTTATGGCTTTTAATAAAACGTGGACAGACTTTTTTCTTAGTAAAATCCCAAAGTGAGCTGTTAAACTTTCCAGTTTTCTCCTCTGACACGTTGCAGCTGAGCCGTCGGTGCTTTTACTCTGTGAGGTGTTTTTCTTCTCCACGTCTCATCGCAGAGTCAGACCTGCTTCAGTCAATAAATCGATTCTGATGCACGGTGGGAAAAAGGCCGAAGGTCCAGTAAATTGCCTCGCTGTGCTGGAACTGTAGCTCTTCATTGTGCACGAGTGAGTTCACGCAGACATTCAGAGCCGCCCGCTTGTGATCGGATCGCCCAGAAAACTGCAGCTCCAGCTTCAAACATTCACCTGGTGAATTGTTCATAAACCAGTCGACACGCAGCACCTCTCTCTGGACAGAAACTGAAACCAAACTTCTCCTCTTTAAAATTTACCAGAATTTATCTTTACAATAAAATCAACTTAAGATTTTATTGTTTTTTTTATTATTACCAATTAACTTTTTGAGTCAACTCATTTCAAAAAGTCCACTGCAGCTCACCGACCCTAGAAAACTTAAAAATGGCTTTAATTAATTAATTAATTATATTTAAAATAATATTTAACTTTAAAAAAACCCAAAATGTATATGCAATCATTAAAAGAAAAAAACTAATTCTGAATGAAAAGTGTGCAGAGTGAAGACTAAAACCTAATTATATCTGCCCCTTATTTAAAATAAGAATTACTTTAAACTTACAACAAATTTAGGCTTAAAAAATCTCCAAATTTACCAAAAAATAAACATATAAATAAAATAAAAACAGAGACTGAGCTCAGATTTGGTGTGGTAGTAACTGCGAGACATTCATTTCAAATTTCATCGTGTTTCATGTTTTACCTTTTATATAAATCTTTTCACTTGTTTAAATCAAATTGTGAAAATTGATGAACTTAAATTTGGATGTTTGTTCAGGTGCACTGGAGTCATGTGTTTATGTATCCTTTAATGTAGATATGAGGAGTGATTGTAACACAAAGGGTTGTACAAGGGTAACATAAATTTACTTTGTGATTTAACGATTTACCAAGTCAGCCTGAGGTTTGTTACTATTTATTATTTGAAAATAGTACGGGGAAGGAGTTTGTAAGTTTTTTTACTTTTTCCGACTCCATTTCGAACATGTTGAGATTATTATTGCCATAAAATATGTGTGTTTTGAATTGAATATGTTTAAATATGGTTATCTCCTTGTATTGTCATCATGTTCGAAACAAATTTGTTTGATTGATTTAATCAGGTTGTTCAATGGTTTATGTTGATGATGATGATGATGATGATGATGAACCCCTCCCTCCCTCCTCCAGGTTTGATCGTGTACCTGGGGATGATGGTGGGAGCCTTCGTCTGGGGGGGTCTGGCTGATCGAATTGGCCGACGACAGACTCTCCTCATCTCGCTCTCCATAAACAGCGTGTTCGCCTTCTTCTCGTCCTTCGTCCAGGGCTACAGCTCCTTCCTGTTCTGCCGCCTGGCCTCCGGCGTCGGGTAAGGAGCCGATGAGTCACACTCTGGCAGTCACGATGCATGGAAATCAGCTGAATGTGCCACAAAACGCAGGAGGGATTCAAACCATGCAGACAGAACAGCATTTACTGGTTTTTAATCCCCCATGGTTTCTCTGCTGACGTTTTATAAACACAAATAAATCATTTCTAACTACAGAAATTACATTTTACATGAAAATGCTAATGTGAACGCTTCATGCTGAAAACTGAAGCTGAAAGCTGCTGAAAATGAGCTGAAAATATTTAATAGGAAGTGTTAATGTGAGCTCACTTTGAGAAGCTGAAAGAAACAAAAAAGCCTAACTTTGCAGAAAAACAGTAAAAAGGAGCACAAATCTAGTTGAAAACATCAAACAGCTAAAAGCTAAGAGCTAAAATAGCTGAATATAGCTGGAAACATCTATATGAAGCATAAATAGCACTAGGTGGCAGAAAAAAGCAGAAGAATAGCAGAAAGAAGCAGATCTGTAGCTAAATTAGCATAAAATAAGCTAAAGGTAGCAGCCACAAGTTGAAATTAGCATCCAGACAGAGAAAGTATTGTAAAGAAATTGTAAAAGCAGAAAATAAATGCATATAAGTACAATAAAATGATTATTTGTAGTAAAATAGCTAAAACAACTGAAATTTTCTGACAACTAAAAATAGCTGGAATTTTTGTAATTAGCATAAGGAGCACAATTAAGTTGAACTTAGCAGAAAAAAGTTGTAATAGCTACAAAAAAATGTGTATTTGGCTTAGAAAAACTAACTCTAGCTAATAGCAGTTAAACATTAGCTAAATTTTCAGCAAATAGCTGAATATAGCAGAAAGCATCTGTAAGAAGCATAAACAGTTTTAAGTAACAGAAAAAAGCACAAAAAAGTAGAAAAAACAAAAAAATAGCAGAAAGAAGAAGAATTTTAGCTGAAATAGCAGAAAAAAGCTAAAATTAGCAAATAATTTGCTAAACTTTAGCACAAGAAAGTGAAAAAGAGCATGACCAGAACAAAATGTGAAAGGTGCTGTAAAGGTTTAAAAACATTTTAAAGGTGTTTAAGGATGTTGAAAACAGCTCCATTCATTTTCAATGGCAAAAAAGTGGCTAAAAATAGTGAAATAGCTAAAAAAGTATAAAAAGCTGAAATACTAAAAGTCATAGCACCTCTCAAACTAATGAGCTGAACGTTTTGACATATGAATTGTTGAAATAACACAAAAATACTGGAACAAATTAGATGCTGAAAAACGTACGGAAGAAAAAATGATCTCAGTAGTGTGAATGTGAAGCTTTCACACAAATACAGTATCAAGCCTTGATTATTAATAATGATAATAAT